TTTAGAAATTTCTTAGTATTTGTGAAATGGATTTGCTATATGACTCAGATTGAAAGAAGATATATTGAGTCATAACCAACTAATTGTGTGAGCCTCTAAGTAATTTAAAATGGTGATAGTAAGCAATGTATTCTGTGGGATTAGTTTTTGATCTTATAACTTAGGAACTCTTCCAAAATCTTTTAAATTGACTTTTAGTTTCCATTCTTATCTTTCCACCTAGTCCATCTTCTTCTATGCAACTATCAGAAGCAAACTATAAGCAATCTCAAATTTCCCAACACTTCATATTTTACATTAATTAAAGCATGGAGTACATTATTTTTTTTTTCTGGAGCTGGTTTTGACCTAAAGTAAATATGCTTCTCTTATTTATCAGTCATTTGAGTAACCCCTCACATTAGAATCATTGATTGTAGTTTGAAAGTATATACTTATATATCTTATTGTCTTTCTAGAAACATGCTTTCTACAGTTCTGTTTCCTAATTGATGAGTTTTTATACATTTTATACTGAGAAATCATCTGTCCCTTTTATGAAACCATTTGGAAAAAAGTATGTGGAGTGATAGGTACAACATGAAACATTATTATTAAAAATAGCTGTCAACTTTGTTATCTTTGTCAGTGTTTAAGTTTTAGGCCGTTGGTAAACTTTTTTCAGATAGTAATGCTTATGATTTACTTCTTTTTGTAAGATTATTTTGTTATAAATTAGATTTTGGACTTTTAAAATGAAGCTTCTCAGCACTACATTGATTTTTTTTTTTAGGCATTCTGAAATTTTGACTACTTTTTAGACATTCTGAAATCATTCTTTAATACAGGGATTAATGTGTAGCTGATTTAAAAAAAAAAAAGACAATCTGCAATTGAGCCTAATATTAATGGGCCAAATCTTATCATGTGTGATAGTACTGTATCTTATGGTGCTTTCTCTTTTCTGGGGAAGAAATTTTATTCCTATTTAACCAAACTTCACAATAGGTAGATAATTTTAGCTGGATGGCTTGCTTGTGCATGCACTCTCTTCTCTTCTCCCCTTCTTCCTTCCTTCTTTTTCTCTTTTTGCTGTCTTTAGTTACTTAAGCTTTAAATTATTTTATAAGTAGATATATTCCCCTAGTAGATATTTTCCCCCTTATTAAAACAAGGTGTCACAATCTTAAAAATGAATTATGCTTTCCTTTTTAAATTTTGATCTCAATCACATTTTTTTCACCAGCTCGAAAAATGCTGTCTTTTGTTTTCTAATATTTATAGGCAGTTATCAAATTCTTGATTAAATGTGGACCAAGATTGATTTTAGACTATATTTTTGGATTTTCTTATTATTGACCACAAAACTATGCCTTATTATGCTCCTGAATTCTCCTTTTAACTTGACTTGTCTTTGGTGGGAAGTTTTAAGAGGTAGACAGACCACAGAAGCGGTAGGAGGCACATAATTGAATGAAGAGGATAGAGAACTATTTGTTTACTCATTTTAGTTATCACCATTTAATTATAACCAAAGGGTAATCCTAGGTGAAATTTCCTGTTTACCTTTTGTGACCAAAGGTCTAAGGACTCAAGAAATGTTCTTGGGCATTTAGAGTAAAGTTGCAAGGCAATACCAGCTGCCTCTTTGTAGAAGTAATACAGTCTTGGTTTTCAAAGATTTAGAGAACCAAATTCATAAATAATCTCCTAACCATACATTAGAAACCATACATTAACTTTAAAATATATGTGAATATTGCTTTACCATAGATTTATTTGTGTGTTTAATAAAAGGGTACCTTAATTGATAACTGAATTTGCTTATGTATATAATAAAACCCTTAGGGGAAAGATTATTTCTTGACATTAATTTTAATAATCTATAATTGACTCATTCTCTAACATTAATTTTAAAAGTAATTTTTCCTAGTTGCTTTTTAGTTAAATGTCATTGCATGTGTTTTAAGTGTCTTTTGGTCTATGAGTTATATATTTATTAAGAATCTAGACTTCCAATGTTTTTAAGCCAAATCTACTACTGAAATAAGTGGACTTAATAGATACATTAAAAATCAATCTGTGCCTCACACTAAAGACTAATTTTACTTGTAGTATTTCTTACCTAGTGAGACAGAAATAACAAAATAGTGCTGATGTTTCCTAATGGGCTTTCCTCTGCAGTGTCTTCCTCATGCTTACATTGTATGAAGCAACTTAATGTGTTGCTATGAGAATAAAATACTCCCCTGAACATTAATGCCTTTTTGGTTTTTGGCCAGCTGTCAGGTACATATATATTTTCACTAAAATGCCTGGCTTAGAAAACCATGGGACTTAAGGGGTCAGGTTTTTGGAAGTATTCCACAATTTTTCTTTACTGTTCTGTTAAGTCTTGGTTTATGTGACTTACATTTTTGGTGTTTGAACCTTAGATAAAGCAACCATTTTAAAGTTTTGTGCTGTATACTAAGTTGAATTTCCCCCCTACAGAATCTTTTAATGGGTCTCCTACAGGAAGCATAAATTTGGTAAGTACTATTATGGGAACTTAAATTATTAAAGTGACTTGAAAATATTGCAAAAGGCTGAGCCTTGTATGTAATTAAATGATATATTAGAATCCACCAAATCATCCTTTAGTATTGTAAGAAGTTATTATGCTTTTAAAGTAATGCTGAGTTCACACATAAGGGATATATAAATCAGAACTTAAAAATGATATTTCATTTTTATTTTTTAGTGGTAATTTTTTTTGTTTTATTGATGCATAATATTTTACATATTTATGGGGTACGTGTGAGTATTTGTTACATGCATAAAATGAGCAATGATCAAGTCAGGGTATTTAGGATACCCATCAACTTGAGCATTTATCATTTCTGTGTGTTGGGAACATTTCAAGTCCTCTCCTCTGTCTAATTTGAAATATACAATATGTTGTTGCTAGCTATAGTCACTAGTCTCCTAAACATTAGAGCTTATTGCTTCTATCTAACTGTATGTTTGTAACATTCACCAACCTCTGGGCTTAGGTCATACCTGCATAATTGCAGTTGCATTTTATAAAGAAATTGATATTATTTTCAATTCCAATATTTAGTATGTTTAAATGACTATGGTTAGTGCTGCGATATGCAGTTAATTTGTGACACATAAATGTTTACATTAGAATCAGTTTTTTCTCCTCTTGTATTTAGAAAAGAAATACAAAACTAGTTAGGATAACTAAAAATTTCTAGAAGTTTCTTAAAATCTATAGTAAAGCAAATTCAGGTCATTATATAAAAGTGTTTTTAAGCTTAGAGAGTTTTATAGCAACTACATCTTATGATTAGAGGTTTAAGAATGATGCATTTTTACCATGTAAACTGTCATTGGCTTTTCATATATTCGGAGTGTAGTGTAAAATAATGAACATTTCAGTTCTCTTATATATCCAGCCTTGCCATTGAGTAACTTATTTCCTAAAATGCTGTTAGGAAGAAATAGTAAGTGTACTGGACTGAAACCTTCAGTCCAAACTTTGGCGGGGTGGGGTATGGGTAGTGAGATATGTGGGGCTTGTTGTTTTGCTTTTCTTCCCACCTGCATTTTGTTTTCTTTTAAACCTTTTGTAATAGCTAAATTGTTTAAAGATCCATTGTGTTATATTGTCTATTATACTATTATACTTTTTCTAAAATAACCTTACTGATTAAACATTCTATTACTATACAAAGTATAATCTTTAACAAAACACTAAAGCAAATCAACCATAGCATTATGTCAGAGATTTTATAACTTTTAAAATGTTCTTTTCCTAAATTATTTGATATCATTACCATTTACTCTTTATAGTTCAGAGCCTTGTAACAAAAAGGAATTGTTTCTAGATCATTGAAGGAAGTATGATGTTCATTATACAGAAAAAGTTTCCAAATGTGATGAAATTTTTCCTTGGTTTGAAATTTACTAGTATTCACGTTTGTAAAGCTTGTACAAATGTTTAAACACTAGTTTAAAAAAGTTTTTTTCTTTATTCCATATCTGGAATAAGTATTTTTTCAAATAAAAGAAACCCATTTTTGTCACAAAGTGATATAAACCAGAATAGTCTCTGGATCAAAAAATGGTGACACTTGAGGTCAGTGACTTGCAGTATTTTCGTATTCCTATAAATCTGTTAAATTCAAGCTTTTAAATAGCTGGAACTTTTCTTATTCTTTTTTTTAATACATAGACAAATTTTAATGAATAGCTGCATTTTAAAAATGATTTAATATTATAAACTAGATCATGAGAGTTTATTCCAATATACGAGGCAAAGAAGTTGCTTAATGTGTTTGATGTTTTACTCATTTTGCAATTGAGATTGGCACGTAAATTATAAGCATTTCTAATGATGCCATTGAAGTTGTGTTGATGAGCTACCATACTAAATTTGAATTTTCAGTTTTTGTCTTAGTGTAATGTTAAGAAACACTTTCTCTTGTAAGGACTTTAAGAGTCTTAAGGACTACTTTGCAAATGTGTTTTATTTCAGTATAGCATTAATGCACTTATTTTGAAATCACAATTTTCTTTTTACTAATCAATACTTATATTTCTAAATGAAATGTTTTTCTGTAGTTAATATTTTTAACCAATTATAACTTTATAGTCTACATGTGCATTAACTAATGTTTATGTGACTTTTCCATCAGATTTTTCTTCATATGTAATGAAAATATTTGTCAATTACATATTTTAAATGTGCTAAAAAAGACATTTATCTACAAAGTCTTTTAACAACTTTTAGATTGCATAGATGCTAACATGTTTAAATTGAGTAGCTTTTTAAATGTTACCTACAAAGGAAGATTACCATTATATTAATACTTTATTTTAAAAAATTATTTTTTGTTCCCTCTACTAGCTTGTAATTGGAAGAAGTTATAGTAGATAATATAAATTTGATGAAATATTCCATTCCTTTGAGGCTTCTTTCACATAAAAATAATATTGAAGGTTGTGCTGCTTCTATCAAAATGTTTTATTAAAGGTCACATGAACACTTAAAAATAATTGCATTGTATTTCTTTTCAAAGTATTTTCATTCACATTGTGTCCTGACAGAAATGTAGAGCAGGTATTAACACCATTTTACCATTGGGGAAACTGAAATACAAGAAAGAGTAGTTGATATGACTAAAGTCTCTTAAAGTCTCAGTGGTGGAGCCTGGACTAGGCCTAATTTAATTTAATAATTCTGCCACTTCACTTGACTAGGGAAGTCCTGTGGATTATCTGTGGAGTTATCACATTTTGCTTCTCTTAACGATCAGTCTTCAGTAGTTACGTTTTTGTTTTCTTCTTTTAATGCAGTTGTCTTAATTTAAATGGCTTTATGTCATATAGATGGCTGCCTGTAAGTCATTTAGATAACTCTTTTAATAATAATTGCTAATCTCACATTAGAACTCAAAAGCTTATTCAGATTCTATGGTTTTTAAAGTGTGAAATATGTCTGAATTATATAATATGAATATATTAAGTATGCATAATATGAATATGTGAAGAAATCTGTGAATTATATGTGTTGTGTCTGCAAGACCTCTCCCACTTTTCAATGATTTGCTAACAAGGTTCACAGGACTAAGCATAGTCATACTCATGGCTAGGATTTATTATAGTGAAAGGAGATAAACCAAAATCAGCAAAGGGAAAAGGTATATGAGGCAAAGTCCAAAAGAAAATAGGCACAAGCCTCCAAGAGTGCTGTCCTAGGGGAGTCACACAAAACATGCTTAATTCCCCCAGCAATGATTTGTGACAACACATGTGAAATGTTGCCACGAGGAAAACTCATTGAAGATTAAGTGTGCAGGTTTTTTATTGGAGGCAGATTACATAGCACATACCAAATCCCAGAAGGAAAGCAGGTGTTCAGCATAAACATAGTTTTTTATGGATAGTTTAAGTACAGTAATCTACTCATATTGGTTAGAGAATGCTAACTTTAAGTTCCCAGATTCCATCCAAGGGACAACCTTGTAAGCAGTCCTTTCTAGGGAAAGCAGTTCTAGGCTGCCATGCTCTTTTTCTGTACAGTCTGCCTTCATTTTATGATTATGATCCATTCTATATATGCATGGGTATACATATGTGTGACAAAAACATTTTTAAAATTTAGACCCAAAGGACATACTTATAAAAGATTGGTTTTCCATCAGTCAATAATAATTTTTGTTTGTAGAATTACTTTTGAAAATTAATTATTTAAAGTTTATCATAATCTATGGATTCATTTCATTTAATAAATAATCATAATAATAGCTAACATGGAGAAGCAGTGAAGGAAGAAATAATCTCATGTATTAAATCTATTACTGAATTATTTTGTTTCATATTGATAGTTCCTTAATTTTGGCTTTTCTCCTGTTAGTATGAATGGAGAGGATTATTGTGTGTGGAGGGGATGGGGGGGACATACAAGTAATAGAAAGTTTGCATTGCAGTGAAGATGAGTAATATATATTTGACATAGAATTCTTTAATACTTTTTTCTATAAAATTAAAAAATTTGTTTCCTGATTTTTTTTCTCAGTCATTAGATGACCTTTCAAATGTATCTTCTGATGACTCAGTACAACTTCATGCCTATATTTCAGATACTGGTAAGAAACTTTGTTGTATAATTATTACTTCAAAACTATTGATTACTGTATCCCTAAATTATTTTCCACATTTATTTTTATAAACCATTTTTTTTGTTTTGCAGTCATATTTTTAAGTTTTTTTTTTTTCCTGCAGCATATTCTTCATTAAATTCTATGATGTTTATTTGCTTATGTATTTGGATATTTTCTTTTTCTAAGGTTTTTGACTATTAATGAAAATACTTACATTCTAAGCATTTTGTCATTTCTCACATAAACTCTATAACCGTTCTTTTCCTCTGTGTTTGAGTCTAGTTGATAATTGTCTGCATAATTCTTATAAAATTGTTTTTGGGGGAGACCTCAGTTCAATATTTGTTTTCATGCATGCAAAGTCAGTCTAGATAACTGTGGGGCAAATGAAGCCCCCGAGTATAGAAGTTTGCAGAAATTCAAGAAATGCATGACTGGGGTGAGAAACCTCTAAGGCATTGTGATCAATCAGTACATGTGCAGAATAAGAAAAAATAATGAATTTTCATTATTATCTTTAAATTATTAGATAATACAATGAATATTAAATAATGATCATTTTCTCATCTGGCCTCTCACTATTCCTGCAATATAGGAGTGTGTTTGCCATTTCACACACTAAAGTATAAACATACTGAGGTACATACCTCAATTCATTGCTTACATTTCAGATACTAAAGAAATTTTATAGTATAAGCGTAGTTCAGAAGATACGAATTTGCATCTTTTTTGAGTTCTTTGTTTTCTTTTGCTTCTCACTGCAGCTGGAGTCTCAATTTGCATTCCGTTCTTGGCAGATTTCTAGAATAAGTTATCTGTAATTCTGATTCTGTTATTGCTTTATCTCTTACAAATAGTTGGTGCATAGATTACTCTGCTTAAAGGTCATTATGTAACTGTTGTCAATAAAACCAGGGGTCTTGTTGCTTGTCTTTCTAGCTTTGATACAATTATTCCATTTTTTCCTTCCTTAAAATTTTAAATTTCTTTAAAAAATCTGTTTTCTTTGTCAGCTTTTCTTCCAAATGTGAGATTATTTGTTAAAATGCAGACCTTTAGTATTTGTTATTTTAGTTCTTGGAGATCTTAAACTTTTACATTTAGAGGAGGACACTCATGTCTGTATTTCTAATGCCAATCTTTCTCTCATCTGAGGGTTGCGATTTTCCAGCTGTTTTGTCCATTTGTTCATTTATTCAACAAGTATTAGCTTCTTAAAATGTGTAGAAGCACTATGCTAGACATTTTTAATAAATTATTTCTGTCAGACAAACTTACGTGGGGGATACTGAAGAGACAGTATGGTATAGTGATTAAGTGTACAACTTTTTTTTTTTTTTTTTTTGAGACAGAGTCTCACTGTGTTGCCTGGGCTAGAGTGAGTGCTGTGGCGTCAGCCTAGCTCACAGCAACCTCAAACTCCTGGGCTCAAGCAATCCTACTGCCTCAGCCTCCCAAGTGTCTGGGACTACAGGCATGCGCCACCATGCCCGGCTAATTTTTTCTATATATTTTTAGCTGTCCAATTAATTTCTTTCTATTTTTAGTAGAGACGGGGTCTCGCTCTTGCTCAGGCTGGTCTCGAACTCCTGAGCTCAAACAATCCGCCCGCCTCAGCCTCCCAGAGTGCTAGGATTACAGGCGTGAGCCACCGCGCCCGGCCAAGTGTACAACTTTTTGACTGAATTGCTTGGACTCAAACTCCAGCTCTGCCACTTGATAGTTGGGTGAACTCGAGCAAGTTTCTTAACTACCTTGTACCTCAATTTCCTCCTCTGTAATATGGGATAATAGTAATATTATTATATAACAACTCATAGGGTTGTTATGGAATTAACTAATTACGTTAGTAATTATACATGATAGGCATCATATATGAGTGTTTGTTCAATAAATATTTATTTTTCCAGTTGGACTCCAAAGTCTCTTTGATTCTGTGTCCCCTATCCTTATCATTTCTGTTACAGGAAGAACAAACTTACAATCTAGTACAGTGCTACTCAAAGAGTGGTCTGTGGACTCTAATGTGTTTTGCTTCCTTCATTGAGAAATCTTGCTTTTAAAAAATATTGGCTAAATTAAACAGTGTGATTACTGATGAGGTTAGTTGACATTCTGATGCTAGTTCTTTACCTAATTATGAGTTAGTAAGAAATAGTTTGCAGATTACCTGTTATGAGTAGCATTGGCCTAATGAAAACAAAATCTTCCGGCTGTATCACCATCTTCTCAAAATCAATATATGTAACTTTTTGTTATCTTCTTTTAAATCAAATTACCTTTCTGTCTTCTGCATCTCTCTTATAATAGCCTCATTATTCCTATTGTGAATGTACCCTGGGTGATCTCCATGCCTATCAATTTGTCACAAGTCCTGATTATTCTTTTTTAGAATGTTTTCTTATGTTGCTCTCTTCTCTCCTTTTCTGTTCCTTGCTATTCACCTTGCTCATGTTAATTCCTAATTGGTTATGGTTAGCTGCCTAATTGGCCTCTGCTTTCTGTCTTCCTTTCCCAAACCTATCTTGTATACAACTGATAAAACCATTACCTTGTTGCCATTCTAACTCCATGAGAAATGGTGGCTTTCTAACTTGATGAAAAAGTGGTGTGTGGTTTAATCTGTATAGGTCTCTGAGAAAAAGATGACTGGGTGAGGTGAACAGTGAACAATAGCGTTACCTACAATTAAAGCCTCTGTATAGAGCAAGATGACTGGAGTCTATTCCTAGTCTTGTATTTTGCCTAATAAGAAATACTGATGTTAGATGGAAAGAGAATAAAAAACACTTTCAAAAAGAAAGTACACATCTTAGAAAATTTTCATGAAAGCCTGACAGAAGTTTCTGTCGAATTACTCTTGCCAATACAGATTTCTAGCTTTTATGTTACTGAAGTAATTTATGAAGAAATTATACAAACCCTCCTTTGCCCAGTTATATACAAAATAGCAAAATATTTAGCTCCAAAATTTGACCACGTTTATTCACAATTATGGATCAGTGTTATCCATTATTATAAAATCAATTTGGGACTTCTGGTTAGTATGGTAGTCTAAACTGCTGTTGGAAATCCTGCCTCCCACACATAGAAAGGCTGAAAACAATATTAGAAAAATAGCTGAAGGCGAATATCTACAGGTGCCATAGACTATGAGGAAAACAAATTCAGGGAAATGAAGAGATGTTGAAGCAAGGGGCTCATAGTAGCATGAAGACTGCTGTCTTGATTTGGATAGCATTTTCATGCTGTAAAGTTTAGAAGAGGCAGAATGGGCCAAGGCTATGGAAAGCTGGGACCAAGTCTTTTACGTAAAGCCCAGAGTCACAAAAAACAGCTTGATGTGAAAGAAGAACTAGGAAAACTTAGCTTGCCTTCAGCAGAAAGAATAAGAACTGTCAGGATCATGTTTAGAAATGGTATCTTTCACTCACAAGAAATTGAAAGCTCAACTTGTATCCCAACATGGTGTGTCTGGATTTAGCTGTCCTCAAGTAATTGTATACCACAGGGTTTCAAGCCTGAGAGTTAATATTAAAATTATTTCTGAACCGTTGAAACCAGGAATTAAAGTGGTGACACTGCTCAATGTGAATGCCTCCAGAGCCCAGAGCACTCAGAACAGCCAGGGAGAAGCAACACCTGCTGAAAATGAGCTTGCAAAAAGCAATTAAAAGCCACAGGAAGAAATGTGAACCACAATAAGGGAGAGTCAGCAGACTGAGAAAATGAGATAATTTGTGTCCTGAGATCTTGGAGATGGCAATCTTAGTAGACTTTAAGATAAGTATGTTAAAAATATTCATAGAGATAAGTCCTAAGATAAGAATAAGCAATATGAAAAAAGAACCAAATGAAATTCTAGAAATCAAAAAATACAGTGATTAAAATTAAAGTCAGAGGATTGATTAAGAAATAGACCGGATACAGATGAGAGGACACTCAGTAAACTTGTGGAGACTTGAACCTAGAGGAGAATAGAGCACAGAGAGATGAAGAGATGGAAAATCATTGATTGTCCTTAGGATTCTTTTTAAAAAAAGATGGAAAATCAGAAAGAAGAAACATTAAAGAAAATGATTGAAAGTCCATCTCCTTAAGGTTAATATAAAATGGGAACAAACTTTGATTTTAAAAATTACCTTACTTGGATGATCTGTGGCAAATCAGTAGGAAAATGCTTTTAAATAAAAAAAGATCTCCAGAATAAACTACACTTTTAAATTATCGAATATTATCAAAGAAAGAGAGTTGCTAGAAGATAAACTTTATCCTATGGCTTTTGCTAATTGAAAAGATTTTAATTGAAATACAACTGAGTATTGAAAGCTAATACAAAAGCTTATTTTGTTTGTAATTTTTCCTCTATTATATTTAAGAGACTATAAGGCTACCTTCTGAGGTGGTGCTGTGATAACATCAATAATAATAGGTAAAAGCTCTTTGAGACGAGAGAGAATCCTAGACATCACTTTTTGGTTGGTAGTGTCATCATAAACTTTTAGTTTATTTTGTATGATAGCCATCATATGTAAAACCTTATGGGTATGAGTATAGAAGATGGAAATCTATTTTATCTTTTCGTGACATCCTTTTCTGTCAGTCTGTCATTTCAGATTCTTCTTCATTTCATGTTGTCTTTTTTGTTTTTGCTCTTCACCTTCCTCCTTTTTGTGTCTTTTGTTCCTCTTCATTTTGTTTTAAATGACTAGTATATGCTGACTATGACCCATATGCTGTGGCAGGCGTTTGTAATGATCATGGCAAGACGTATGCATTATATGCCATCACTGTACACCGGCGCAATCTAAACACTGAGGAGATGTGGAAGACCTATCGTCGGTATAGTGACTTCCATGACTTCCACATGAGAATCACCGAACAGGTAATGAGATTTTTAAAACTTGCATACTTTACATTATTTCTTAATTTCATTTTGATTCTAAATAGTTCTGAGGATGCTCAGATATTGACCAAAGGTAATGAAGGAAAATAAGGTAAGCATGTTTTATGCAATCAGCATAAATCTTAGAATGATTTTGAGCATTTAACCAAAATATTAAATGTTGAGAACTATAACTCGTCCTAACCATTGTGAACTAGTGACAAAATATCAATGATATACCTTGGAAAATTAAAATGAATGCATATTTCTGATTCTAAAATTTGTGTCTGTGTATGTTGTGCTTTACAAAGATATTTGGGTTTGGTTTGAAGTTGGGATGAGAATTGCCGTAAGGCATTTTGTGCCTTTGTTTTTAGAGGTATAATTCAAAACTAAGCAATAGTTATTTTAAATGGCAGCCTCATCCACAGTAACAGTTAAATCTTTGATCCATTGCTTTGTTTTGAACCACAATATTTACCAAATAATGTTTTTAATTCTTACTAAATACAACCCTGTTGTTTTATAGAAGTAACTATAAGGACCCTTAAAGGTAACAAATGTAAAGAAATTATTTCCCTGTCTTATTTTTTTTATTAAACATTTTATCTTCTCTTTAACTTAGAAACAGATATCACCAGATGAATTGGAATAGGTGATATGTGACCTTTATTTTAACTCTTGAAAGTCTTTGAATTATTCAAGGTTTTTAGATAAACAACTGGTATTAAGCCAATAAAAATAATATTTCAAAGTAACACCAGATTGCACTATAGCTTTGAAATGACATTATACTATATTGAAATCAGAAAATATCCTTTTCACTTAAGATAGTAGAGAAAATATGGTTGGCACGCTGATCTCATTAAAATATTTTACAGATAGAGTGAGATAAACTATTAATAGCTTAAAAGTGATTAAATACAAAAGGTTAGTGTTGACTTCTGAAGCTCTTATTAAAAGGACTATTTTGAATTCTATTCATAAGGAAATTAATAACTGTGGACATGTCTGTTCTTGTGTTGAATAGATCTTTTCTTCATGTTTAGCTTGATTTGTTTGCAGCTGTAAAAGAATTTTCTGCCCCACAATGAAGAAATAATTGCTTTATTTTTTCAAATATACCCCGTTTGATATTGTTTTAAAAGCATATAGCTCATGTATCTCTTTCTTCCCATCCTTACACTTTAACCAAACATGATAATTTAAAAAATAATTTGGATTGATAAGAGTA